CAGGCAGCGAAGATGAAAGCAATTCGATTGGTGGAAGCGCAAAAGGTGGGGAAGCCGGTGACTCTGAAAAAACAGGTGATGGAGAATCCTGGACTTGAATTACGGGGATATTTACTGTAAAGGAAAGGAAATCGAGGGAATGAATCAAAAAATCTTAATAAAAATAAAGTTGAATTGAGAAGTAAAAAGAAGAAGTTATTACCAGGGGAAGGTGGATCGAGGGGCGTTGGTGCGGGAGAAGAATGTTGTACAGCCTCGGGTTGCTGTTAATCGAAACAAAGATGAGAAAAGGAAACATGTGGAAAAGTTGAATAAAAATATACACATAAAATTTAAGAGTTGTACCTCAAGAATAGGCGTTGATGATTGGAGTAAAGAATCGACATTCGTCGATATAGTCGCCGATGGATGGTCCTGAAAAAATCGAGATTTGGAATCATGTTATAGGCCTTGTCAAAATCTAGGTATATAAAATTTGCGTAAAAAGGGGGCTTACATGACTTGAACGAGTGGTGGGTGTTGTTTGGCCCGCTTTGCTGACCGTGTTAGAGTCCATCGAGAGCGGATTTATAGCAGGTGGTTGAACGGATCGAGGACTCTTCTTTGATTTTTGTTTCTGAAATTAGAAGTGAATCAGTCATAGACAAAGAAAGTTGAATAAATAAGATAATAAGGAATCGAAAAGAAACCTTCGATTTTTTCGAAGATGAAGAAATGGTGGCAGAATGCTTGCGCTTCTGAGTAGGGGCCGATGGATCCGACTCGTCTGAAGACTCCCAGTCTTTCTCGCAGGCAACGGTTTTATGAGGTTTCGAAACTGTCAAAAAAAGAAAAATAGTTAGCTTGCAATGTGAAGAAAATTAAAAATACTCCTAAAAGAGGCAGTAAAATCTCACCAAAGGGTGATGAAGTTAAAATCTTGACTCTGTCGATATGGACGAGCCAGGGAGGAAGAAATGTTTGAGGAAGGTTTAGGTAAGGGAAATAAGACAGCTTCGATATCGAAATTTCTTTATTCTTGGGTTTGGGAGAAAGAGTTTCTTTCAAGGATCTTAACACTCGAACCCATTTAGGATGAGTTAAAGGTTTGGCGAGTCCGAAAGGAGCTGATGGGAAAGTAGGAAGATGGTTGGGACAATACATTTCAAATGGGGTTTTTCCTCGAGGATTGATTATTTTATGGTTCAATCGGTTAGTGTCTGTTTTATTGACTAGGGAAATAACAACATCATAAAAGGTCTCTTCTAATTTCAAGGGGTTGTAGCATGCTCGATAAAAATTTTCGAATCGAGATATTTGGAGATAGTGAGAGTATGTACCTTTCTTCGCCTTTGATTTGTCCTGTAACACGAGAGAAGGACGAGCGGTCAATTTTGATTGAACTATGTCAAAATTAGAATGAATATTTGAAAACCAATCGGTCCACCATTGAGAAAAGCCAAGAGTAGATAAATAATTTGATTCAAAAGCGTAAGGGTAAAAATGCATCGGGTTTTTTGTCAGCAGTCTGGCAAGCTCCCGTCCAACAGTTGATTCACTTAATTTGGACCTTGAGGAGGTATCGAGGGGGAAAAAGGGTAAAGCTTGACTCAAACCAAACTGTCGCGAGAAGAGCTGGGGATAATAAGTAACAAGTCGAAGATCCTTTGATTGAAAACCCGATACCAGAACATCTTGGGTTAAGTAATTACTCCACACTTCGACCAATTCAGATTGTAACCCTGGAGTAAGAGCAGGGAATTTCGATTTAAACCATGCCGCCCCTCGAAGCTTGTCACTTACTTTTCCATAATAGATGGTGAAGGGGGCCAAGTTCGACTCAAAATGAAATCGAGTTAATAAAAATTTTAGGTAATTCTTATAACTAGTCTCATCGGATTTGTGGTGAGGATGTCGAGAAGACAATCGAGCACCTTCCAAATTTAAACTTGGGGGAATTTCGGAGGTGGGAGAGAGGATACTTTCAAAAATTGAGGTAAGCCATAACTGAATGAACCAAATGGGACCTGAAAAATTCCCCGAGGCCCTGGGGGTATTCAAAATATCGACAGCTTCATCAAAAGAAGTGTAAACATGGGCCAATAATAACTTTGCTAGACAAATCCGTGGTTGGCCAGTGTGGAGGAGGTAGGCAATATTATAAAGGTGAGACGAAATCTGGATGGATCGAGGGCAAAAGACATGGGTGCAAAGCCAATATACCAAGAAGGCCACATGCTCCTCATCAGAAACCGCTACTATTGGATCGTCGATAAAATGTTTTTCAAGAAAATGTCCATAGGCATTCGATTCCCAATTGATTTTGGACCTTAAAGAATTATCTGAAGGGAAAGCACCCTTATAGTAGTTCTCCCTTGTGGGCTTTAATCCAGTAATTGCAGCTATTTCAAAAAGGGTGGGTGAAAGGAGACCACAAGGAAGTTCTAGTGCATGCAAATCCTTATTCCACAGATGGACAGCTGATAAAAAAATAGTCATATCTAAAAAAGATAGATCACATCGAGACAGATGAAGGAAATCGAAGATCCCCACATCTCTCCAATGGTTCCCAAACTTAGTTTTAACTCGGTCAAACCACCTAATGTATAAGGGTTTTTTGTGGGGAGGGCCTGTTCGATATACTTTGGAGACAATATTCAGGAAGTCAATTCGAACCTCGGACTGATGGATGAGAGCCTTACTCTCTGAAGAAAGGTTGAGGGAAGAAGAAAATGATCCGCCACAGTAGCGGATAGGACCACCAAATGCATAACTTACATTATCAGCAACATAAAGGATAAGTACCTGGGTCTCGGCAATTCTTTGGGAGGCTTCTTCCATCAAAGGAACCGGAGCAAACTTCCACCCATTAATTTCTATTAGGTTGGAGGTCACCGAGGAGAGTGGTGGGGCGGAGAAATAAAAGGATTTTGAGGTTGTTATTTCAGCCGGTAGAGAATAGGAAGACGAAAGGTTGTAGATGAAGGTGCATTGAAGAAGTTAGGGTCGTGGTAAAAACAAGGGTAAAAATCTAATAAAGGTATTTAAAAAGGAGGCAACTAGGATATTTGAAACGACGAAGGCGAAAGAGTGAAGGTGCATTGAAGAAGTTAGGGTCGTGGTAAAAACAAGGGTAAAAATCTAATAAAGGTATTTAAAAAGGAGGCAACTAGGATATTTGAAACGACGAAGGCGAAAGAGAGTAACGTGGCGTGCACGGTGTGACAGCAGAAAGGAGGTGATTTGATATGTGACATAAAGCAGATAAAAACCCCAGAAACCCTAAAACCCTAGAAACCCTAAAACCCTAAGGAGTCATATTCTGGAAGAATATAAAAAATTGATACAAATACTTATATTTTTCCAGGGGGGCATTTGTTAGTAAAGAAAAAAAATCGATACCAAGATCGAAAAAACAAGAGAGAAATATCAAAGATCAAATGGTTGGTTGGAAATTTGATAAAACAGTTAGGAAACACATGGTAACCACAAGATGAAAACGCATATAAATCGAGAATCAAAGAAACAAATTTGATGTCTATTGTTGAAGAAAATCGAGAAATTAGAATATGGTGTAATGTTAAGGAGAATCAAAATAATTCAAAACACTCGATGTCTGAAATCGAGATCGAGGGAACGGTTAATGCGCACATAGAACATGGGAAGCGGTTTCTAAACCGTGACAAAGATCGAAGATCAAGGGAGCGGTTATCTCATGCATGGGAACGTGAAATGCAGTTTTCTAAACCGTAGAACTAAGGGACGTGCATGTTGGATCGTGGTAGCAGTTTTGTTAACGGTTCCTGGAAGGTTATATGGAAGGAGACCTATAAATAGAACGAAGCATGAAGAAGAAAGGGAAATTAGCAGAGACAACAGAAGCGCTAGTGAACAGTCTACAGGAGAACGACGCATCATGAAGTTTCTAATGCTCTGGATTTCCGTTTTCATTGATTATCTTTATTGCCTTTTTTACTTTCCCTGGTAATTTACTTTCATTGCGACATTGCGTTTATCAACTTTAAGTTTTTGTCTTTTCAATGCCTTGTCATTTACTTTTATGCAAGTTAAGGTTATGCGTTTAAGGTCATCGCCATTGTCATTCTTGCAATTTCGATTTCCTGCCATTTACACTTAATGCACTTTACATTTTTCTGCAATTCAATATTCTGCACTGCTTTTCGATTCGATGCTTTTACTGCTTTATTTACTTCGCGTTTCTTAACGAAAAAACACTAAAAAATAGTTCTTTCGATTATTAATATTTTTTAGGGTTTCATACATGTTTCGATTGAAAACCGTTTGCTAGCCTAAATAAAAAAAATCTACGTGGTTAAAATTTGGTTAGAACCTAAGTCTTAATAGATCGAAATCGATCAAATTTTCACCAAAAACACCTATATATATAATAAAATAACTTAAAATAAAATAACTTAAAATAAAATAATAATAACAATAAAAATATAAAATAAAATTATTAACTAAAATCTTCATTATTTTCTTATAATTTCTTCCCATCATTTTATTGTTACATGCCACTTATAATTATACGTACCAAATAACTAAATCATAACAGCCTCCACTAATATAACCTCTTTCAATATTTTTTTTCCTTCTATACATCTTATCCTTTTGTTTCGATATTCTCCATCGGATATTATTTCACACAATCATTTTATTTTCGATAGCACCTCCTGATCATTTTTATCTTCATAATACATTTTTTTTTTTTTATCGATTACCACGTTTATTTTCTACGCGATTTCTCCTTTATCTATTCATTCATCCAATTTGTTATTTTAGACTTACCATGTAGTTTTTATAGGTACATGTCAAAATGTCATGATTCGCTCAGAGAATCCAACCACAATTACGTAGGCTCTTACGTCATCCCCTACAGACGATAATTTTACAGTGTACATCTTCTAAAGAGATAAACCACACCGCAGAGGGAAAACCCCAGAACCAAGAGAGAGAAACCAGCACAACTCATTTTTCTTTTTCCTTTTCTTCTTGCCGCCATGGTTCTCCAAACAGAAAATCCTCACCTTGTATTATTTCCTCTGATGGCTCAAGGCCACATCATCCCCATGATGGACATTGCAAGAATATTGGCACAGCGTGGTGCGATTGTTACCATATTCACAACCCCAAAAAATGCATCACGTTTCAATTCTGTTATATCTCGAGCTGTTTCATCGGGCCTCAAAATCAGGCTGGTACAACTCCGTTTTCCATCAAAGGAAGCAGGGCTACCTGAAGGGAGTGAGAATTTGGACATGGTCACTTCAAAGGAAATGTCCAAATTCTTCCTCGTCATCCACATGTTCCAAAAGCCAGCAGAGGAGTTATTTGAAGCACTAACACCCAAACCAAGTTGCATAATCTCTGATTTTTGCCTTCCTTGGACTGCTCAATTAGCTGAAAAGTATCACATTCCTAGGATTTCTTTCCACGGATTTTCTTGCTTTTGCCTCCATTGCCGGTACATGATAGAAACTTCAAAGGTCTGTGAAAGCATCACTTCAGAATCCAAATACTTCACGATTCCTGGCATACCTGATAAAATTCAAGTTACCAAAGAGCAGTTACCAGGATCAATCACTGATAATTTGGAGGATTTTAAAGTGGTGATGCGTGCTGCTGAAATGAAGTCATATGGGTTTATCATAAATACTTTTGAAGAGTTAGAAAAGGAATATGTGAGGGATTACAAGAAGGCGAGAAATAATAAGGTGTGGTGCATTGGTCCTGTTTCATTGTGCAACAAAGATGCTTTGGATAAGGCTCAAAGAGGTAACCAGGCCTCTATTAATGAGCACCTTTGCTTGAAGTGGCTAGATTTGCAGCAACCCAAGTCTGTGGTCTATGTTTGTTTTGGAAGCATATGCAACTTGATTTCTTCACAACTTGTGGAGTTGGCCTTGGCCTTGGAAGATACTAAAAGACCATTTTTATGGGCTATTAGGGAGGGAGGTCAGTTCCAAGAACTGGAAAAGTGGATCTGTGAAGAAGGGTTTGAGGAAAGGATGAAAGGGAGAAGCCTTATAATTCGAGGTTGGGCTCCACAAGTAATAATACTATCACACCCTTCCATCGGAGGATTCTTTACACACTGTGGTTGGAATTCAACTCTTGAAGGGATAAGTGCTGGACTGCCACTGGTTACCTGGCCTCTATTTGGTGATCAATTTTTAAATGAGAAACTGGTTACTCAAGTGTTGAAGATTGGTGTGAGCGTTGGGGTAGAGGTTCCAGTGCAGTGGGGAGACGAAGAGAGGAGAGGTGTGTTGGTGAAGAAGGATGATATTAAGAGGGCAATATGGATGGTGATGGATGACGATGGAGAAGAGGGCAAAGAGAGAAGAGAAAGGGTAAGCAAACTGAGTGAGATGGCAAAGATAGCTGTTGAAGAAGGAGGGTCTTCTCATCTCGATATCACTTTGCTTATCCAAGACATTATGCAACAATCAACAACCATATGATTTTGAGGCCTAAATATTCCCAATTTGCAAGTTGGCATGTATTCCTTTCGTTTTCATGTTTATTACGTACACGTCAAATGCAGAGACACACTTTGATTCGTGGGTTAACATTCAAAAAGGAGAGAGGGAATCAATTGGATTTGTCTTTGTGCAAAGACCGTCTATGACAAATGGAACATGTTTCAGTTATAATTTGATATAATTATAATAACGTGTCTTCGTTGCGATTTCTAATACACGCCATTGTAATTTTAGATAACGTTTTATTTATTTTAAATTAATATTTTAAGATAAAATTGATTAGTAAATCCATTACCTGTTTTAAAAAGTTATTAATTACTTCCCTAAATTACACAAAAATAATTAATTGAATAATTTAACTTATCTTGTAATTTTTTAATTAAATCTCTAGAACAAGCTTATATGACAGCTTAAAATAGTCACTGTAACAATTTTTGTAATTAAAAAAATACAATTCAATTAGATTATGTATTCAGGACTTTCTAATTAATTTAACTTATTTAATACCCAGGACAATAATATCTATTAACATGCAGTATATGGTTTGAAAAGTTTTCCATAATTGATTGTTAGACACATGACATACATCTAAACTTTAAACAAATAAACTTGGATGGGATCATTCGTTAGTGACTGTAGTGTTCTCACATATATGTCAAATTTCTCTATACATATACGTGATTAATTTGTATTAGGCACTATTTGAATTCTGATTCTTTTTGGTGACTCTCATGGACAGCTAGCGAGTGATGAACAAAGACAAATAAATGAAAAAAGAAATAATTAACATACAGACAAAAACGGATTCTTGTTCATAATATATTATTAATTGCGGACAAGAGGTCCACAATACTTGACTCTCAAGTGTCACATAATCCAACGTGCTTGCGTAAGCGCTTACATGAAATTAACCAACAGCTTTGCATATGCAAGTCTTAAAATACCCAAGATGAAGCGATCGAATTCATTGTACTGTACATCATCGTTTCACTGCAAAACTATGCCTTCTCAAGAACAAAAGCCACACTTTATCCTGTTTCCATTGATGGCCCAAGGCCACATGATCCCCATGATGGACATCGCAAAATTATTAGTGCAACGCACTGTTACTGTGACTGTAGTCACCACGCCACATAACGCAGCTCGTTTCTCACCAATCTTTGATTGTTATCTTGAGTCTGGATTCCCTATTAGATTAGTTCAACTTCAATTCCCATGTGAAGAAGCTGGAGTACCCGAAGGATGCGAGAATCTCGATACGATACCTTCACTCGGCACGGCCCCGAGTTTCTTCAAAGCAACAAGTCTTCTACAACCACAGGTGGAACAAGTCTTTGAAGAGTTATCACCACCACCAAGCTGCATAATCTCTGATATGTGTTTGCCATATACATCCCATATCGCCAAAAAATACAATATCCCAAGGATTTCTTTTGTTGGAGTAAGCTGCTTTTACATTTTGTGTGCGCATAATATACATATCCATAATGTTAGGGAGAACATAGCATCGGACTCGGAATACTTTGTTTTGCCGGGTATCCCTGACAAGATTGAGATGACTATGGCACAGGCTGGACATCCCATGAATGAAACCTGGAAACAGATTAATGAAGAAATAATAGCTGCTGAAATGACTAGTTATGGGATAATCATGAATTCTTTTGAAGAGTTGGAGCCAGCATATGCAAGGGATTACAAGAAGGTCAGGCTTGATAAAATGTGGTGCATAGGCCCTGTGTCACTTATTAACAAGGATCACTTGGATAAGGCTCAAAGAGGTAGGGCCTCAATTGATGTGTCCCAACATCTAAAATGGCTTGATTCTCAAAAGGCAGGGACTGTAATCTATGCATGCCTTGGAAGCCTGTGCAATTTAACACCACCCCAGTTGATAGAGCTTGGTTTGGCCTTGGAAGCATCAGAAAGACCCTTCATTTGGGTAATCAGGAAAGGAAGTTATTCAGAAGGATTGGAAAAGTGGATTGAGGAATATGGATTTGAGGAAAGGACAAATGGTAGAAGCCTTCTCATTCGGGGCTGGGCTCCCCAGTTGTTAATATTATCACACCCTTCTATTGGAGGGTTCATAACGCACTGTGGTTGGAACTCAACCTTGGAAGCAATATGTGCGGGTGTTCCAATGGTTACGTGGCCACTTTTTGGTGACCAGTTCTTAAATGAAAGTTTAGTGGTGCATGTTCTAAAAGTTGGAGTAAAGATTGGGGTGGAAATTCCGATGATATGGGGCAATGAAGAGGAAATTGGTGTGCAAGTGAAGAAGGAAGATGTTGAAAGGGCAATTGTAGAGATAATGGATGTGACAAGTGAAAGTGAAGAAAGAAGAAAAAGGTTAAGAGAGTTTGCAGAGATGGGTAAAAGAGCCGTGGAGAACGGGGGATCCTCTGATTCTAATGTGACATTGCTTATCCAGGATATCATGCAAAAAACCAAGGGAGATGCTTAAGAATTTCATTTGCCGTAAACCAATTTGAAGTTAAAGGTCACACCCTGTTGTATTTCACTTAAATTATCTTTCTTTCAAACGCTGCTCATCATCTCTTTTAAATTTACAAATTATCTATTTTTGAATGGTGTACCATGACATCTTTCAAAGATATTGATCTATTGTTTAATTGGGTGTGTAATCTCTTCTTGCAATCCATTTATAAAAGTTCAGTCTTCCTTTTAGCTTTGTTTGTAATCATTTTTTTTAAAATGCAATTTTTTTTAAACAGTTTATATGAAGAAAAAATTCTTATAAAACAGCAACCATTTTTTTCATTCATAACCCATCATTGATTGATTCTATATGTAATTTATTTATTATTACATTACATTAACTAAATATGTACTCTTCACCGTTTTAGTTTTAATAACGATAGACCTGCAAATTGTTATAAAAACTAAATATCTAATTAAGTAGACATTCTTAAAATTATCTACATAAAAAATAATAATAAAAATTCAAAGATACAATTATAGATAATCAGTTAAAATCAAACATAAATATAAATTATAGATATTATTTAATAAAAGTAATGATTAATATCATATACAAAAATATTCATATTTAAATATTAATACTTGTAACATTATATTAATACAAAATAAAAATATAATCAATATAAAGTTATGATAAATATTAAAGATACTAAAAATGACAAATTATTATTCACATTTAAATAATAACTTTTTTAATGTAATTAATATTTTTTTCTAACAATACCAGTTATGATTACCAATTTCATTTAAATATAAAAAATTAGTAATATTTTATCTTTTATTCATAATAAACAAATTATTTATACAGTAATTTCTTAAAAAATTATTTTATGATATACAATTCTGTTACTCAGAAACATTATAGATGAGATTAATTTTCTGAATGAAATTTTTACACACTACTTGAACCAATGATCCGTTGCTCAAAGAAATGTCATTTTCATTTTTGAAATTATCAACGCATGCCCATTGGTTTTATAGTCAAAGTCCACCACTCAAACTTTTCATTGTGTCTTTCAATGCACGCGGATTAGACACTCCTTTCCAAAGTATAAAAAATGGATATGCCATGTGCATCTGTCATTCTTAACTTTTTTGAAAGGAGAAAAGGGTTTATATGTTATTCTTTTTTCTGATATAATTTTACTTTATATAAGGACCTTTCCAAGGCCAAAATAAAAGGAACTTTTTTGTCATTTTATTTTCTTCCTCGAACTATGCAGTTCTATGTTATTATAATATTGTCGAGAAGTTTACGAACTACAAAAGTCCATAAAAGGACATATAGTTCTGAAAAGGATATTGGAGTCCATGCCAAAGGTGGTTCACATGCGAGCACAAAATTACTATTCCATTGCAGGTGATTTATTCGGTTAGTAACTCAGTTGATTATGAATATAGTAATTGAAAGGTTTTTATATTGAAAATTTTTTCACATGGGTTTTAAGAATTGAGTTAAACGGTGGAATAAGTAAAGTTACTACTAGATAGTTATAAATAAGAAACGGTTAAGAGCAAGTTTCATAGTTATAAATAAGAAATGGTTAAGAAATGGTTAAGAGCAAGTTTCATAGTTATAAATAAGAAATGGTTAAGAAATGGTTAAGAGTAAGTTTCATTGAGTTTTATGGAAGTCTTATATTAGGTAAAAATGATGATGTTGATTAACCTATAAAAAGACTCATAATATTTCTATTATTTATTATATTTATTACTTATTTATAATCTATTTATTTAGAGATCATCTTTTTTTATATTTTAGAATGATTATTAAATTAAGAGAATTGTCATTGACAAAATTTAAAGTTAAGACCGATACTCCAACCACTAAGTTACTTAAATTTTTTGATAATAATTTATAAATAAATTATATTTATATAAAAATAAATGTATATCCATGTAAATATATAAATATTATATATTTATATATTTTTTTAATTATTTAATTTAATAAATTATTATAAATTAATCTAATTATGATTAAATTAAATTATTAAATAAAAATATTTAATTTTTTAAGTAGGTGAATAATTAAATTTATTAGAATATATTTAAAATTAAGTAATTATTATATAATTTTACTGATGAATATATTCATTTGATAACTAATTGTTAATTTATCAACTGATTTACCAATGGATATATCCATTGGTAAATAATTGTTAATTTACCGATGAATATATCCATTGGTAATTAATTGTTAATTTATCGACGGATATATTCGTCGATAATTATTTGTTAATTTATCGACCGGATATATTCGTCGATAATTATTTGTTAATTTACCGACTGGATTTACCAACAGATATATCCGTCGATAACTAATTATTGTACTTATTACAATAGATTTGATGAAAATATTTTATCATTTTGTCTTTGTACATAGATGACATGTTGGTGGTAGGCTCCAACAAAATTCGAATTCAAGTTTTGAAGACACAGTTGCCTAGAAAGTCTTATATAAAGAACTAGGGGCCAACAAACAAGATTTTAGGGATGTAAATTCACCGAGACATAAAATATAGAAAGATTTGATTTTATCAAAAGAGTTACTGAAGATCTTGCGGTGCTTCAACGTGCAAGGACGTAAGTCGGCTTTTACTCTATTTTCTATCAAGTTATCCTCAAGTAATAATGAAGTAGGGAGGATGTAAATGTCTCTTTAAATTATTATCGTCTTAGTTACGAGAGAAAATATTATTATTATTTTCTCCTTAGATTTAAAAAAGGTATTGTAATTTTTGTTGGTAATAAAATTCTATTATTGACTATTATCAATTTTATTTCTCTTTTCTTATTTTTTATTTTAATTATGAGTTTTTATGCTGTCACTCCTATACCTATCAGAGTTGATACCACGGATGAATTTATCTTGAACCTATATAAAGCAAGCTGTAGCAAGAGAGTGAAACGAAGCACACTTAGGCATTTCAAGAAAATAGAGATTGTTACATTAAGAACTTAACGGGACATGGCAGAAGGCAAAGGAACACTGTAAGCAAAGAGGAACTAACAAGAAGGTAAATGAAAGAACTCGACTTTAAGACAAAACTTGGAAAAGAAGTTGGAAGAGAAGAAAGGGTTACAGTGATGCAGGCGCTTCGGCCTTTTAGACTATTGAGGATTCAAAACAAGTTCACTTTGGGTAGAACAAAAAGGGCTCTCCTAGCATATTAGATCCACAGTATGTACTGAAAATGAAAACAGGTAGGGCATGTTTTCTCCCGTTAAGACAAGTGATAAGGATTCTATCTTTAAAATCTCCAACAAGGAAAACCTAGAATCATACAAGACCTTTAAATTAACTGTAATTATTAGTACGAAGAAAATTATAACAGGGTGTTCTTACTTTGTAGTATGATTGTTTTTCTTAGTGTTTATTGGAACTTTTTAAATTGTTGTAAATTGCAATTGTTGGATCAAGATAGTGATGTTTTAGTGACAAGAAAAAAATTCTGTGTATCAGAATTTGCATATTATCCAATAGTTTAAGAAAAAGCATTCCTACTTTGAAACGTCTAAAAACACAATATAAGATTGACCATGCATTCATATATCGAAAGCTGTTTGTGATCAAGACATGAATAAAAAGATGGTAAGTAGAAGGTGATCAAAGGGTATAAAACTCCAAGTGAAGAAGTTGCAACCAAAACAAGTGGAAAACTTAAGAAATATCAATACTGTGAATGAGGTGATTTATATGGGCCAAACACGTACCTGACATTATTCTTACTAATTACCACTCTCATGCCGGCTTGCAATACAAAAGGAACATATTTTATTGTGATCGATCGACAAAGAAACTTGATGTTACGTATTAAAACTTTCCACCCTCATCTATTTGTTCCAATACATGATGCAAAACCTAAAAGACAAAAGGCAAGGAAATCTTCAAAGCATTGTCTCATAATCCAAAGTAAATTGTATAGCAATATAATTATACTTTTTAACCATTTGTCATTAATAAACTGTGCAAAAAATTATTAATTTGAAACTTATTTTTTAAAATAATTTAACTAATTAGTTTATTAACATTAAAAATTTACTAGTTGATTAGTATAAAATATGTTTAAAATAACATAATTATATATAAATACAAATTTTTCTTCTTTTATAATTTAATTAATTATTCTAATGAGTAAATGGTTAGATTAAAAAAATAATGATGAATGTAATAAATAATATTTTTTAGTATTTTTATGATAACTTGAATAATAATTAATTTGTAATATTAATATATATTTTTGGCATTCACATTTTTTGTCCTATTTTATTATGTTATCAATTTTAAAAATGATCCCATAATTTTGTACTTAAGGTTATCTCTCCTATTTTATTATGTTATCAATTTTAAAAATGATCTCATAATTTTGTACTTAAGGTTCTGAGAGATAAAGCGAAAGGAAAGAATCTCAATATAAAAATAAAATAAAATAGAATGTCAAACTATGAACTCGTATTTATTATTACTAGAGCAATCTTGGTGAAGCACGTGCATTAATTGTATCAATGTCCAAAATGACATTATTCACACTCCAATGAAACCTCTCGTGGCCGGCTTGGGATCCAGTGACAAATAGATCGGACATTATGAAACAAACATACTAAGCATTACATACCAACAAAATTTTCCAACTTAATGCATTTGTTTCAACACAAGATGTAAATCCAAATAGACAAAACGCAACGCAATTTGCAATGTACTATCTCATAATCCCACTTTGCATCAATAGAGCGATGCATGACGCGTATATAAATAAATGAACAAGTTGAAGTGAACTCATTGCACCATATACCATTCCACAACTACAATGGCTCCCCAAGAACAGCAACTCCACTTCGTCTTGTTTCCATTGATGGCTCAAGGCCACATGATCCCCATGATGGACGTCGCAAAAATATTGGTGCGACGCAATGTTATTGTGACTGTAGTCACAACACCACATAATGCAGCTCGTTTCACGTCAATCTTTGATCGTTATGTTGAATCTGGGTTTCAAATCAGATTAGTTCAACTTCAATTCCCATGCAAAGAAGCTGGAGTACCAGATGGATGCGAGAATCTCGATATGATACCTTCACTTGGCATGGCTGCGGATTTCTTCAATGCAACAAACTTTCTTCGACAACCAGCGGAAAAACTATTTGAAGAGTTAACACCGACACCAAGCTGCATTATCTCCGATATGTGTTTACCATATACAAACCACATTGCAAAAAAATTTAAAATTCCCAGGATTTCTTTTGTGGGAGTAAGTTGCTTCTATCTCTTTTGCGTGTCTGCTATACGCATCCATAATGTCATGGAGAGCATAACTACAGAATCGGAGTACTTTGATGTGCCTGGTATACCTGACAAAATTGAAATGACTGCAGCTAAGACAGGACTAGCAATGAATGAAGACATGAAACAGGTTACTGATACATTGTTTGAAGCTGAAATGGAAGCTTACGGGATGATCATGAATTCTTTTGAAGAGTTGGAGCCAGCATATGCAGGGGGATACAAGAAGATGAGAAATAATAAACTGTGGTGTTTGGGACCACTATCATGTAGCAACAAGGATCACTTGGATAAGGCTCAAAGAGGTAAAATGGCCTCAATCGAGGAGTGCCACTTGAAGTGCTGGCTTGATTGTCAAAAGCCAGGGACTGTAATCTATTCATGCTTTGGAAGCCTATGCAATTTAACAGCACCACAGTTGATAGAGCTTGGTTTGGCCTTGGAAGCATCAGAAAGACCCTTCATTTGGGTAATCAGAGAAGGAAGTCATTCAGAAGGATTGGAAAAGTGGATTGAGGAATATGGATTTGAGGAAAGGACAAATGCTAGAAGCCTTCTTGTTCGGGGATGGGCTCCTCAATTGTTAATATTATCACACCCTTCTATAGGAGGGTTCATAACACACTGTGGCTGGAACTCTACCTTAGAAGCAATATGTGCTGGTGTTCCAATGGTTACGTGGCCACTTTTTGGTGACCAGTTCTTGAATGAAAGTCTAGTGGTGCAGGTGCTAAAAGTTGGAGTTAAGGTTGGAGTTGAGAGTCCTGTAACATGGGGAGAAGAAGAAAAAGTTGGTGTGTTGGTGAAGAAAGAAGATGTTGAAGGGGCAATAGAAACGTTAATGGATGAGACAAGTGAAAGTGAAGAAAGAAGACAAAGGGTCAAGGAGCTTGCAGAAATGGCTAAAGGAGCTGTAGAGAAAGGGGGATCCTCTTATTCAAATGTGACCTTGCTTATCGATGATATAATGCAAAAAATCAAACATAATGCATGATAATATCAAACTGAGTTGTACTAAAAAGACCACCCTTTTTGTTTCACATAATTATCTATATTTTGAATATATTTAAGTTACACTTTTAAGTACAAAATAAACATTTGCTTCAGTACAGTGGTTGTTGTTCTTTCAAAAAGGTTATGATCTCAAATATTTGATGGACAAAAATGTTATAATTTTTTTAAAAAACAAACAACCTAATATATATATATATATATATATATATTTTTTTATTTGACTTAAAGGATTAGGTTAGATAACCTATTTTAACAACCCTAACTCCATTAAATTTTGTGAGTTAAAAATAGGATGAGTTAGCTAACTAGTATTCTTTAAAAATATATTTATATATTAAAATAAAAATTAAAAATTTATAATTAAAAATATTATTTTTTTGTTATATTATTAAAATAGATAAAATATTATATTTAATTAATTACATATAAATTATTGATTATAATTAATAAATTTAATACATAAATATAATAATTTTTAATTTATTTAATAAATATATTAATTAATAAATAAAAATTTAAAAATTATTTATATAATTAAATATATTTTTAAAAAATTATAAAACCGTCATTAACAAAACGAACTAAGATGGGTAGATTATAACATACCAACCCACCCACTTATCTATAACTATATACAAATCTAGGTAACACAAATAGCAACTTTCTACATGTGTCATCACCACAATTTTTTTCAAAAAAAATCAAAAACAATTTTTTTACAAAACAGACCTATTTTGTACAAAAAGACAAACTGTTTCTTTGGGCCACAACAATGTTGCAAGTCCATACTTCTCCTCAACCCAAATACTCTTTCAATCTCTCATATGCTCCTTTGCGCCGTCTGCTGCAAGTCTTCTTGCTCTACACATTTTTCGCTCTGCACGTCTTCTTTACTGCAATCTTTCCTATTTTATGCAAGATCATTGTCTCAAAAGAAGCATGAAATCTCTTTTGTTTCACGTCTTCCCTCAAGTAGTATTTTCATCTGCATGTTCAGATAAGTTATGTTATATTTCTTACCGATTTACTTTTAAATCTAAACTTTTTTTATTCAAAGGTTATCGATTTCGTTCAAAAGGTTACTGATTTGCTTTGATCTAAGGTTTTGCATTTAAATATTACCGATTTTGTAAAAAATGTTACTGATTTGCTTTGATCTAAGGTTTTTGAATTTAAAAGTTACCGATTTCGGAAAAAATGTTACTGATTAGCTTTGATCTAAGGTTTTTTAATTTAAAAGTTACCGATTTTCAATCTTTATGTTGTTTACCTTCAAGAGCGAAGTTGAAATTTTTTTCCCTAAAAAAGTTTGCTTTTTTATCATGATTAGGGTTCAATATTGTCTTCTTTGACCGTCATTAGGGTTGCACATCTGTTTATACCTGTTTCAGTATAGTTTTATGTAATTTTGCTTATTGATTTGCATTTACTTATGGGTTAACCCAAGCTAGAGGTATAAAAATTGCAGTTTTTTACATCATGACGGAAATACAGGAAGTCAGATACATGAAAATGGTAATATCTTCCCTTTACAAAAGTTTGAATTCAGATTACTTTAATATTGTCAACATTTCAAATTCTAGAATACAGGAAACATTTCCCTCTTTCCATCATGCTTATAAATATACATGGGTTATTCTCTATTTATTTTTTACATTCAGTTTGCAATATGTCTAATTTGCAAAAAAAGTATCACTCTGTTTCAGAACTCAATGGTGAAAAAGAAAATTGAAATATATTGGCAAAGGTCATACGCCTGTGGTTTGTTTCAGATTTCACTAAACACAAATTGTCATTTTCCATGAACTTTGTCATGCAAGATATGAAGGTCAGTTGCACTACCATGCTTTCAATACATTTTAAATAACACTCAATTGTGATTTCATTTTCTTAATGCAGGGTGACAAAATTTAGGGTTCTGTTAGGAGGTCTCTCATCTATAAATTTCAAAATGAAATTACTGAGGGGCGTGTGTACTCTATTCAAAATTTTGGTCTTGGATCAAATGGTGGTTCTTATAAAACCACCCACCACCCATACAAAATCAATTTCCAGTTTGGAACCAAAGTGAACTTAGTTCATTGTCATGTTATAACCGAAAATAATGGTCAATATATACCACTCTCAGTTATTACGACTCCTGGATTTGACACAGATTACTTAGTTGGTAAGTGCATATAACATGATGTTAAATACTCGCTTTCATCATATACTATTTATTTATTATTTAGTATATGGCGTTACTCACATGAAACATCATTTCACAAACAGATGTCATAGGAATACTTACAAGAGTTGGGACAGAAAGAGAGCTAGACAAGAATGGTAAAAAAACAAAACTAAACATGATATGCTTAGAGGTTGATGGGTAAAGCTCTTTAACCCATTTATTGATGCTTAAGGATTTACTATGGTATAGTTTAGTTTTTTTTTTAACATGTGTTGTTTCTCAAACTTAGTTTTAGAGTAAAGTGTACGTTGTTTGGTCAATATGTTGATGACCTAAATGCATTACTTACATCTGGAGATATCCAAAATCCTGTCATAATCATACAATTCGGCAAAGTCAAAATCTTCCAAGGTAACTAATATATTTGTGTTATAATTAGTTACAGTTAGTTACAATTATTGACATTATATTATAGTTTTATATCTTTATATGTTATTTACTGATTAAGTATATGTGCAAAATTGTATGGAATGTACAAGGATAATTTTCAATGCTCAGTGCGAATAAGCTAGACAACTTAAAAATAGGTGTAAATCATAAATTTCACTTGAAGTGTTAACCAACTAAAATGTCCATTTGACTTTTCATTTTTTATTGAATGCAGGATGTCTCAGAGTATGGAGTCACCTGCCCAGGGGTTAAGCCAGCTTTCTGACTCTTCTAAACAAAGCAGTGAAAATGAATTTCTTCAATCTATTCCTATAAATACAATAGAGGGTTTAAAAGATTGTAAACAAGTGTGATAGTCATTATTAGTCTATTCATTACTCCATTCCTATTAATTAGTGATGTTCATTGTGGTTATTGTCTATTCATTTTAGTTTTAATTACTATTGTTCATATTTGTTTTTACAAGAAACAAGTTTTGTAATTCTAGGCACTATAAAACATATTGTTCATGATGATGATTGGTGGTATACAGCTTGTGTGTGCAACAAAGCAGTATATCCAATTTCCAAAATGTTTTTCTGTGAAAAATGTAATAAACATGTCATGAAAGTCGTGCCTAGGTACTAATCAATGCTATTTTTTTGGCATCATATTTCAACTTTTTTATGAAATTCTTACAAATAATATTTTATTGCTTATGAATTTCAGGTACAAGCTTAAGGTGAGGGTCATTGATGAAATAGACTCAAGCAACTTTTGTAATTTTTGATAGGGATGCTCGTTAAAAAAATCATGCGTAGAGATGTTTGATTCGCAGGATAAGGATTTTTTTCTATATTTATTATTTATTAAATGTATTATGTATTATTTATCTATTTATTACATTGCATTGAATGTTTAATATGGTTCTTTTATAGAATGTTGTTAATGGGAATGGGAATTTCCCGAATGAGATTGAAGAACTGGTAAATAAGACGTTTCTCTTCAAAGTTGAGTCTACATGTGGTCGAGTTTCAGGTTTGAACAAACATTCGGAGTCAAGAAAATTTGTGCAGACGATATTATTATAAAAAACTTCATCGATGGTTGCATGAAATCAATGGTAAATAGGTACTCAATAACCGATATTTGTTATTCATGATATTCTACTTCTATGCTCGACCAAATGAAGTTTATTAGGATGTCAATTCGAAAATGCAATATTCAATAGCAAACAATCAAATTTTGGAAATACTTCTATTATTGTTGTCGAGGTATTTAATGGATTTCTCTTCATTATTACAAATATAACATTAAAACAAATTAGTCTAAAGTATGTCAACTTATTTTTACAGGATTTATTAACAAAGTTCTCCAATGCATCTAATGATGTTGACTCTGAACCAGCTGATTTAGCATCTGATATTGGTCTCAACAATGACTTGGTCATGACAAATCTTAAACGACACAATATAACAAACTTGGACACACAAGATGAAGATATACCTTTAAAAATATTGAAGAAAAATATCAAGACAGAAAAAAATTAAGTAACTTAATAGATCTGATGAACTTCATTATAATGTGTTGTATTATCAATATGAATATTTTGAATATTTTGTTGTGGTACTTTTGATGAACTGCATTATGATTTGAGAAAAATCTTGAATATTTTGTTGTCGTAGTTTTGATGAACTGCATTATGATATGTTGTATTATTAATATAATGAACTCTTTTATAATATTTATGTTAGTTTGGTGAGATTGGATAAGTTGTATGTCTTTCCTCAAACATCCTTTGCAATTTATTTACTCATATTTACACATTTTTTCTACAACACTGGTTCTATATTTTTTGAGGCCTATTGATTTTTAATGGAATGCCCAATTACATTAAGTATTAAGAAGCCTCTTTTACATTTTCTGAGGTTCAATCATTTGATGGAGCAATGGAAGCCCACTTAATGTAACTATTTGTAAGTATTTTTATCTTTTAAATCTCCGAATTGTATTCAAGCATTTACCTACATTTATTTATTATTACTATCTCGGTTCTTCTGATAAGCAGGTGAAAATATAAGACAGAAGCACTATTTCCAATACATGCCAAAAGCATACATCGAAGGAAAAGAAACCATCATACTATTTTTTCTCATCCCGTCTCATCATTCAACTTTACTCTATGACAAATCTACTCATCTAATCTCATCCCATCATTTGTTTATTTCTTTTATTATTTTATTCATTATTTATAATTATGATTTACATCGAAAACATACAACTCTAATGGTAGCATTCATTACCATTGATATTTTCAAAGATTCATCCTTTGCATTTATTTACTCATATTTACACATATTTTTTCTACAACACGGTTCTAT